TTTTTTTTTTTCTTAACAAAACCTTGGATTTTGTATGTAAAAATGTATCAAAATTTGTGAAAAATGGCGTTTTTATCAATTCAACTTTTTCGACTAGTTTGTGTCAGCCCCAACCGTACTTAGAATGACGATTCATTTGAAAAATACAACGTCATGTATACTTTACCAAACCCAAACCCAACCCCAACCCCAACCCCTATTACTAAATAAATAAATGCAATCAAAGTGATTTAATTAGAATTCATAAAATTATTCAAACAAACATGAATTTATAAATATTATATCAAAGAATTTCTATATTTGAATGTTCTAAATTGATTTCTATTCTGATTTATATGAGAAATTATTTAATGAATTAAAAATGAAGACTCAAAAAAATTTATAGAGATAGCATTGATTTATAGATTTGGTTTTCAGTTTAATTACCGCTATTCAATTGTAAATAATTAAAACTATTCACATTTTCTAATTTGAATTACTTTACAAATATAAAAAGAATTATAAATAAATTATATCATAATTATTCATTTATTTAATAATTCATATGTTGAATATCCTTTCTTTTTATTATCAAAATAGACTAAATATTGTCCATTATTTGTGATAGTCCCGTAAACATCGTATGTATCACAATTCAATTAATCAACTATTTTGAATTTCCCATCATTAATTTCTGTAATGATATAAATATAAGTTTTATGTCTTACTACCATCAAATTTCTCTCCTTATTATAAACTATTGAAAATCGATATTCATCAAATATTTAATTATTTGCAATTAATTGAATAGTCTTATCCTAATTTTCTTAAAATACTCCTTCTTTTAATTCAAATATGCAAAGTTTATCTATTTCTTTTCCCCCAGTTACCCAAATAAATTAATTATTTTTTATAAACTTCACCTTTTTTCCTTAATCTAAAATTGATTATTTAACAAAATATTTGAATTCAAACTTATCTTATTCTCTTCTTTCCCAAATTATAATCTAATTCTTATCTTTTGCACATGATACTAATTATGTTTCTGATTCATTTAAACTTAATGCTATAATTATATTATTATGTTTATCTAATGAATACATGTATGTTAATATATTTTAATTAAAATCAACCTTCCATACTTTAATTGATTTATCATCACTTCCAGAAAAAAGTAAATCTTCGTTGGAATTCAATATAATACAATTTACACAATGTGTATGTTCTTTATAAGGTTCTGAAGTGATCCAATCAGATGAGTCCAATTATTTCCAACATCTTATTGAATTATCATTAGCACCTGAAATAAAGGAATTCTATTTCTTACTGTAGACTAAACATTAGATCGAATTTGTGTGTCCTTACAATATTTTAATTTATTCAATTTTTCCATTTAGAAACTTCCATATTTTTATATCATTATTTTCTGTTGATACCATAATTTATCCACAAGAATCAAAAACTATTGCATTACATCTATCATTTTATTTAACAGATTAATCAATTAATTTTAATTTGATTTCACTTTCATATAAAATATTTTATAGATTTTTTTATTATTACAACTCTATTTTTATTTAAGGTTACTGTTCAACTTGAGTAAATGTATTAGAACCAAATTCTAAATTCGACAATAGCTCTTTACATTTATTATATTCGACTAATTAATTAAAGTATTCTAATTTAGGATTCAATTTGGAAGACCAACAGTGATTAGTTTTCTAAATTTCTTGTAATAATATTTATTAGTTTGTATTAGTTTTATTTTACTTTAAAATAATAACTTCTAATTCCTCATAAAAGCTATATTAAGAATATAATGATCCTTATTATTTAAGATTCTGAATCCATTCCATCATTATAGTAATCAATGAGTTAAATTATTGTATTATAAATGATTTCATTTAATCAATAATACCATGTAATGATTCAATTGTTTATATAGAATTCTTTATTATATTTTCTACTCTTTCTATCTTCTTGACCTAATTTTCTTCAATTAATGAAATAATTTTTCTCAATCCAACCACTTTGAAATCCATGTCTGTATCTTCTAAGCATTCTGTGCACAAGAGTCTCTAATTCCTTGATAACTATGGATCAACTGCAATTGTAACAACTGGTAGCTAATGTCCTTTAGAACAATGAAAATCTTTTTCATTTTCTATCATTTTTGGCTTAATCATCAAAATAAATATTAAAATTTATTTGGTTGAGATTGAGTAATAACAAATGGTTTTTCTAGTCCTATTTTCACTTCATTCTTAAAATACTAAGTAAATATTTTAATTCAACAGCAGTAAAAACTCCAAGTCTATTATATATTGAAGACATTTCTCTGTAGGATAAACCAGGTAATAAGATGTTTATTAAAACTAAATAAGATTATTAAAGATTATATATTATCTATTGAATAAACCTTGAATTTATTAATACAAAAAGTTTGTGTAAGCCTTTATTATAAGCATTTTTAAAAATTTAGTGTAAGCCTTCAAACTGTAAAATTACTTACTTCATTTCGAACTTTTACCATTATAAAACTAAGATTTCTTTGCAAACTTATTTTAAGTCTGGTTACTCTTTTCTCATTCATTCCAAAGGAACTCAAACTAACTTTTTAATATTCCTACCTACTAGACTTAAGCTACTAGAGGAATGAATGGTATTATTAATTTTTTGAACAGCGCTTTATTTATGAGGAAGTTAAGCTGGTGGGGCCTAAAAGAAAAATTTACAAGTAAAATAATTTTTAATGAAATACTTAATTTTATATTATAAATTCATAATTTTCTTCTTCAAACTTACTGATATATACAAGTAAACTAAATTTCCTAATTTCAAATATATATACCTTTCTTATTAATTTTTGCATTATCCAAATTATATTTTCATTTTAACTAGTTATTCTCAAATTCAATTATAAGATTGTTGTTTATAAATCTAAAAGGTTTATGTATTAAATAGAAAAATTAACACAAAATTCATTTCAATTATGACATTATTATCTTCAATAAAGCTTTTATAGAAATTTTAATTTATTAATTGATGCCATTTTATATATAGGCACATTTTTATCCATTTATCTTCATTTAAAATTCTTCTGATACTTCTTTTAATATTCTAAACAAAATCCCTCAAATTTACAAATTAGTCATTATCACTATATCTACAGCGTCTGTCAGGGCTTTTACTTGCTACAATATTTTGTTTATTCTTATTTTACAATTATCGCTTCCCAATAGATCCTTATTTCTCATTCCTTCATTCATTCAATAAGTCATTAAAATACAGATAAAAAACATAGGTGCTATTAATGAATTTAACCCATTTTTTAAATTTATCCTTTGTTCAATCACTGGATCCCAATAGTACGTTTCATCATATAGTGTCATTAGAAATCTAATTGTATCCTCTTCCATCCAACTTCATTTTATCATTATATCGTAGAGTTTTTCTCTATTCACTGTATTGTAAGACTTTGATAGATCTATAAATACCATTGATTTATCTTTCCCTTTTGAGTTGCCATAAATCCTTCGTATTTCATCTTCCTTTATAGGTTGTTCCTATAAAACATTTCTATTAATTTGATTATATGTGATTGTACACATATGGGTCTCTGGAATCTATTAACATTCTTTATTCAGAGGTATTAACCTCATTTGAAGGGTATATTTGGTCTCCATTCATCTTTCTAATCTAACAAATCTAATTATTTCTCATTTTCTTGCAATTTATTTAATTTTAATATTTATCTCTACCATATAGGTATTATGTTAAATGATCTTCCCCATTCATATGAAATAGCTTTATTATATATTTTATACCTATCTCCTAATTCTCTTTCAATACTCCTACTAAATTCTTTATTGCCTCTGAAGTTATTTTTTTCTGATCTGTTTCATATTCGCCATCTATCTCTATTATATTTGCTATTTGTCTTCATACTTTTGCTGTATGCTTTATTAGTTTGATTATATTCTATATCTATTAATCAAGGTCAAATAAATAAAGTCTTTATTAAATTTTTATTAGTAAGCTTTTAATATTGGAGGAATTAAAGCAAAAAATTACTCTATATAAAGAATAACTATAATATTAAAGTAATTTCTAATGATAAAAATCACAGTAAATTGGATTTCTTTAAACTTTTAATTTTATTCTTAGCTTATTATTAAAATATTTAAAAAAGATCTATCATTGTCAGTTAAATTTAAAATCCATTTATTTTTGATTCAGAACAATGAATACTTTTAAGTTATTATCTTTTATGTTATATTGATAGTATCTGAAAAAAACTAAACTAACCCTAAAAATCTTTAAATAAATACAATTTATCTTATAGTAAAATTCTGGTCAAAGTTTGCTGATAAACGTTTTTGTTAAGGTTTTCTATAAACGAAATGAACAAACAGATGGTGATAGATATACTAATCTAATAAGTTTTTAAGTAATAGACTTTAGGTTAAAAATATATTAGCTATAATTTTATTGATAATAATTATGATGTTTTTTTACTTCAGTAACTAATGTAAATATTCTCTGGTGTTTCATTTCTACTCAAATAAGAAAAAATTTTTTATTCAATTTATGCTATATTTTAATTTAACTTTTTTTTCATATTTAAAATCGAATCAGAAATAGTTCTTCACACCTTTATTTTTACATTTATATTCCTCAAACAAAATATTGTGAGTCAAGATGTTATGATTTTCACTAGATTACTAGTTATATGAAAATCACTCCCTTAGTTTATAATGTGACAGTAGTATTAACTTTTAAGCGTAACTAAACTCTATTTATTCTTACTAAATATTTATATCTTAATCACCTTTTTTTATTTAAATTTTCTACTACCAACTTAAACTATATGTTCATAAGATATAACTCAGTTTAATCGGTAGTCAACATAATCTGTTTTCTTCAAACAAGAATCGAGATAACCTACAGATAAAATATAATCCAGTATAATTAAAAGAAAAATCCCTCTACTTTTGAGATTGTTTTTGAGTTTTTTGAATAGTGTAAAATTCTCTGTGAACTTGTAAGTTTTGAGATTTTGCAATATTTTTTTAGAATTAAATTGTTTAAAAAATTAAATTAAATATACCAATTAATTCCATGTCTTAGTTCTTCAGCTTGTTCTTACTCTCTGTATTGCCCATATGCTCTCCGTTTGCATGCAAATAGTGAACTTTTTTTTATTCCATCATGTTCGATTCTTTATGGCTTCCATTTAAGCATCTATTTATTCTTGTATTTTTCGTTATATCTTATATTTTTCTTCTTGTATTTCATATTCCTCACTATCCTTTGTTAATCCATTTCCACTATTAATGTCATAAGCTTAAAATTTATTTTACTCAGTTTTACTTGAATAATTATCTCTATATTTTATCTTTTGATGTTCCTACTGCTCCTTGCTTCTCTATGGTTATTCTACCACTCTTTGTATTCCTTGATGATTAATATCTGTTATCAACTTCTCCTTAATCACGCTAGGTAATTTTTAGTTTGTCTTCTTAAGCAGTGCTGATTTTAATTCATTTTTTAAAGAAGAATTATAAGATTCTTTTCTGAAATTTTTCTTTATTTCAAAGATAGGTTTAATCTAATATTCATCGAAAAATGCCATTCGGAAGATTAGCTTTATGAATTGTAAGTAACAGTTTTCAGAGGGTTCATTTAAATATTATTAATTACAAAGAGTAGGGTTAAATACTATTGAAAATGCACCTATTGGATGAATAAAACTTTAATGATTGCTAATTTATATCTAGAAAACAGAAATAATACAAATCTTTAAATCATTTTTTTTAAAATTATACTGAGAGATGCTAGAATACTACTGACCTTTATATAGACAACTTCAGAATTCTGAAAAATTATATAATGAATCCTATTTATACCACCTTATCATGTATTAATAGTTATGTGGCAAAGGAGTAAATCTCTTTCTTAAGTGCCTTTTCATTTTTAATTCATAAAGCCTTAAATTAAATTAATGAATCATTTATCAAATTATTTGTTTGCAGCATCCTAAAGCATATCTAAAAGGAATTATAAACATTTTTATAGAAGGAATCTGTTTTCCATTTTCTTTCTCCTTAACAAAAGCTGCTTGTATATTAAAGTAATTCCTAATGTTAATTTGCAATTGATTGACTCTTTAGCTTAATTAAATAAAACTTAGCAAAATTTAATAAATTTTGGGCTTGAGTTAAAAATATAAAAAAACTTTACTTTTTCACCTAAAGAGATAAATGTTTTTTTGTTTTTGACAATAACCAGATCTAATAATTTACTTAATTTAAAAATCTTTTTATTCTTTCATTTTTAAAAATTTTTAATAGTTTAGCAATTCTATATTTGGACATGGAAACCAAACATTAGATTATTAATAAATCATCAGTAACTATGCCTATTAAGGATATGGAATAAATTTTTAAAATGGATGTA